AGCCCATCTTCTTACGGTCGTCCATCTCGGGCTCGGCGGTCCAGTTGAGGAACTCGACGACGTCCTTGGCCATCTGCGAAGTCGAAGCCTTGGTGCCATCATCGTATTCAACCAAGTCGTCGTACAGAACACGGGCCATGGCGATTCCAGTGCCGGGGAAGTAGGGGTTGAAGTTGAGGCCTTCCTGGACAACGGCACCAGCAGGCGGCTCCTCGGGGTAGCCGGTCAGCAAGCTGAAGATGTAGTTGCAGCCGCCGTGGCGGGCCTTGACCATGAGGGACAGATCCGGAGGCAGGGCACCGTTGTTGGCAGCGCGGGCGGCCTCGTCGTTCTTGTAGGGAGCGGGCATGTAGTCGGACAGCTTTCCGGGGCGCTTCTCGATTTCGCCCTGGTCGTTGGGCTCTGTGTCGTATTCGTTCTCCTCGGCCAGGGCCTTGGCCTCGTCAACCGTCATGAACTTGCCGACGACGGCGCGGTAGGGCACACGCGAGATGGAGTGGCACGAGGCGCAGACCTCGCGGTAGACCTGGAAGCCGCGGCGGAGACTGTGACAGGTTAGGGGGCGGGCATGTGCGGTGCGGTGGGGAAGACGTACGCTCCGTGGTCGAAGGTCTTGTGCCACTTCTCGTGCTCCCACGGGTATTGGGTCGGGTGGAGGCTGTACAGGCACGACGTCAGTACATGGCCGCGGGCCGGGCTATCTGGGGCGCACTCACCCTTCTTCGGCGGGGGTCATGGCATCGACGTGGCGTCCGTAGAGGTGCCAGTACCAGGCAGTCGAGCCGACGGCGAAGAGAGTCGCTCCGGCGGGCAGGGCGTTGTTCTTCCAGGCCGAGGCGGCGCTGTCGGCGGAGGACCATGTCGAGGCGAAGCGCTGTATCACGCACTGGGTCAGCCAGATGATTCAATGGAAGCGGGGGCTGGCCCGAGTATGGCAGCCGGGCCAGCAGGGCGGCGACGCAGCTTGCGCCAGCTGCCGGGAGATGCTGGGCCATGCGGGAGGCGTACCGGTTTGCTCGAGGCATTGCGGGCGGCGGCGGCGGCGGAGCGTGCCGTGCGCAGTGGTGAGCGAGCCAACATGGTCGTGGGAAGCTGGCTCGGGGCTGGGGGAGACGCGAGCAATGGGTTGGCGGCGATGGTGGTGCGGCGGAGAACTGGTGCGAGACCATTTTCCAATTTCCAAGCTAACTAATCCACATCACGTGCGCTATCATTGGACGAGGCTGCCATGACGCCTCCGGACTGTATTTTGCTCTCGCACATCGCCTTGCATGCGAAGGCGAGTGTACTCGAGAGGTGCAGGCTGCGACTGGCAGTGCGGCATCACATGGCATGGCAGGCAGTGCAGAGGGTCCCGCGTGGAAGAGACTTCGTCCGTGATACGCAGCAATGTAGCCCTACTTCTATACCCTTTCGCTCATGCAGGAATTGCAAAAGGGCTCAAACGAGGGCTGCTTCTCTCTAGCAAGACTGGCAGTGCCGGGGCAGTGCCAGAACACACGGCGTCCCCAGGAGCGGGAGACGTCGTCGAGCTTCTTGCGTGGTGCCGGAACGCAACGCGACGTCGGCCTGGCTTATATAGTGGACACGGCCCCGATGCGAGCTAGGCTGCATCTGGCCGCGAAGAGAGCGCTGGAGGACGTCGAGCTCTCGCGGCGCAGGGGACAGGTCGCGACACAGCACACGAGAAGCCAGATGCACCGCTTCACCTACCATGGACGTCTTCTGGCCGCTCCCAGCCGCCGACTGAAGCCACGGCGGACGCTACTGCACACGCTCACACCGAACGCGCGACTCTCTCCTCCCCCCACCAACAGCCCTCGCCCGGTCCCTCGTCCCCCACCACCCTCCCGTCACCCTGCCCTTGTCCCCGCAAGGCACTGTTCCCACCGACGAAATATGTGCAAGCACTTCGGCGCAGAGGGCCACGCGTCCATCGACATCACCAAGGGTCGCGAGGTGCTGCCCGCCAACGTCAAGCCCGTCCACTACGACCTCACACTCGAGCCCGACTTTGCCAACTTCACTTACCAGGGCACTGTCACCATCGAGTATGTGCCCGTCCGCCCGTATGAGGAGGGCCCTGCTGACACTCGGCCAGTCTAGATGTCGTCGACGACACCACGTCCATTGCCCTCAACACCAACGAGCTCAAGATCCACTCGACCAAGGTCACGGCCGGCCAGCAAGTCATTACCGAGTCGCCTCATGTCACCACCGACGACGATGCGCAGACGACCACGGTCAGCTTCGACCAGACCATTCCGGGCGGTAGCCAGGCGAAGCTCACCATGGCCTTCGCCGGAGTGCTGAACGACAACATGGCCGGCTTCTACCGCTCCTCCTTCAAGGCTGCCGACGGCTCCACTACATACATGGCCACGACGCAGATGGAGCCCACAGATGCCAGGCGGGCGTTTCCTTGCTTCGACGAGCCCGCGCTCAAGGCCAAATTCACCGTCACCCTCATCGCCGATGAGAAGATGACCTGTCTCAGCAACATGGACGTAGCGTCGGAGAAACAGATCCAAAGCACCATCTCGGGCGGAAGGCGCAAGGCCGTCACCTTCAGCCCGACGCCTCTCATGTCGACCTACCTCCTGTGCTTCATTGTCGGTGAGCTCAACTACATCGAGACGAACAACTTCCGCGTCCCTGTGCGAGTCTATGCGCCAAAGGATCGGGACATCGAGCACGGCCGCTTTTCGCTCGAGCTGGCGGCAAAGACGCTGGCATTCTACGAAAAAACCTTTGACAGTCCCTTCCCGCTGCCCAAAATGGACATGGTCGCGATTCCCGACTTCAGTGCAGGTGCCATGGAAAACTGGGGCCTCGTCACATATCGTGTCGTCGACGTGCTCATTGACGAAAAGGTCAGCGGGGCAGCTACCAAGCAGCGCGTCGCCGAGACGGTGCAGCACGAGCTTGCCCACCAGTGGTTTGGTAATCTCGTGACCATGGACTTCTGGGACGGCTTGTGGCTTAATGAAGGATTTGCAACGTGGATGTCGTGGTATTCCTGCAATGTCTTCTACCCTGACTGGAAAGTCTGGGAAGGCTATGTTACAGACAATCTAGCCAGCGCACTCTCGCTCGACTCGCTACGAAGCAGCCATCCCATCGAGGTACCGGTAAAGCGCGCAGACGAGATAAACCAGATCTTCGATGCCATCTCATACTCCAAGGGCTCGAGTGTCATCCGCATGATCTCCAAATATGTCGGAGAGGACACCTTCATGGAAGGAATCCGCCGGTATCTCAAAAAGCACGCCTATGGCAACACAGAGACTGGTGACCTCTGGGCTGCCTTAGCGGATGCCAGCGGCAAGGATGTTGGCAAGGTCATGGACATCTGGACCAAGAAGGTCGGCTTCCCAGTCGTTACCGTCACGGAAGGCACTGATTCCATCCACCTCAAGCAGAACCGCTTCCTCCGCACTGCCGATGTCAAGCCAGAGGAGGATCAAACCCTGTACCCCGTATTCCTTGCGCTGCGGACCAAGGAAGGAGTTGACGAAGACTTGACGCTTTTCGATCGTGAAGCCGACTTTAAGCTCAAGGACCTCGACTTCTTCAAGCTTAATGCGGACCACTCTGGCCTCTACCGGACCTCGTACACGCCAGAGCGCCTACGGAAGCTGGGCATCTCGGCCAAGGAGGGCCTCTTGACCGTTGAGGATCGAGCTGGCATGATTGCTGACGCAGGCTCGCTGGCGGCATCGGGCTACCAGAAAACGTCTGGTATACTCTCGCTCCTTGACAGCTTCAAACACGAAGCAGAGTTTGTCGTCTGGGGAGAGATCACGGGTCGTATTAGTTCCCTCCGGGGTGCATGGATGTTTGAGGACCAGAAGATCCGGGACGCTCTGAAGAAGTTCCAGTTGGAGCTCAGCGCAGAGAAGGCACATGAGCTGGGATGGACATTCAATGAAAAAGACGGTCACATCGAGCAGCAGTTCAAGGGTCTCATGTTTGGTGCTGCCGGTATCGCTGGCGACGAAGAGATTACCAAAGCATCCTTTGACATGTTCGACAAGTTCAAGGCAGGCGACAAGTCTGCCATTCACCCCAACATCCGCGGCAGCGTGTATGCCATTGTGCTAGCGAATGGTGGGCAAGAAGAGGTAAGCAGTGCTACGAGGATGAATGGAATGCAGGCTGACCAGACGCAGTACGATGTCATCGTCAACGAGACTCGGAATGCCGCTACAAGCGACGAGCGCAACTCGGCTCTTCGCGCACTAGGCCGTGCCAAGTCTCCAGAGCTCATTCAGCGCACGCTTGCCATGGCTCTCAGCGACGAAGTCAAGGGCCAAGACATCTACTTGCCCATTGCAGCATTGAGGTCACACGCGGAGGGCTGTCATGCGCTCTGGAAGTGGGTCAAGGATAACTGGGAGGAGCTGGAGAGAAGGCTCCCCCCTAGCCTGAGCATGCTAAGTTCGGTGGTTGCCATTACAACATCAGGCTTCACCCACCGGGAACACATAGAGGACATTGAGGCGTTCTTCAAGGGCAAGAGCACCAAGGGCTTTGACATGGCGCTGTCCCAGAGCATCGACGCCATCAGCGCCAAAGCCGCATGGCTTGAGAGGGATGCGGACGATGTCAAGACGTGGTTGAAGGAACACAAGTATCTGCAGTAGGCGCCCCTGTCGGTGCACTGTTGTGAGAAATGGCTGTACAATATAGATGAAGAAATCAAAGACCCATGCCGCCAACGCTATGAATAAGAGTGCGCGATACCCAGGGAGCCGGTGCGTGATGAAGCTAGCATGTACCATGAATCTGTCCAGAAGGGTGGCTACGTCAGCTTGCCGAACGTGGGACCGCCAGTTCGGCCATGGCTCTGTGAAGAGTACAATCGGAACGCCACCACCTCACGTTGACTTTGTGGCGCTCGAGCATTGTATCGCAATAGACACAGCGCCAGCCTCCACGATACTTGCAAGGGTTGTCGGAAGCTCGGTATCGAGTTGCGCGCAGCCGCCAGAGCCGTCATGGCGCAAAGGATGCCGCGATCCGGCACACGCGCAGAAGCGAACCCAGACGCAGACGCAGACGCGCTCGCGCTAGATGACACGGTAGAGCTCGAGCAGTTCCGCCGCTCACCCCATCCATACCTGCGTCACGGAGACCAAACACAGAGGCAGTCACCAGGCCCGACGCATCGCGCCCCTCGGCCCTCGCAGTCGCGACCCTCTTCCGAGCCTCCAGGCAAGACAATGCACGACAAGGACGGCAGGACACGCAGGAAACGGACACCGCACTCCCCGAGCGAAAGCGGCACCGAAGCCGACGACGAGGGCTACAGCCTCGTCAAGGCGCTGCCTGCTCCTCCCCTGCGACCGCACAAAGGCCTCCGCGAATCGCGGACGTCGGGCCCAGACGAATGGGCGAGTCCGCTGCTCACTCCCACACAGATCGACGACGAGGGGAGAAAGCTCTTCGAGGGCTACTTCGCTCGCACCAACCGGACGAGGCGCAAGGGAGACGCATACCAAAGCGACGACGACGAGGCGAGGAGGGCCAAGCAAAAGTATCTCCAGCGGCGGCGCAACGAGCTGGTCAGGCGAACGACCGAAACTGCATTGCTCGCGGGCATTGCCACGCTCGCCGTCCGCGGTTGCGACTGCTGGGTCAATTTGCTGGCATGGCATAGAGGTCAGCTCACCCCCCACGCATGGGCCCAAGGTCGTTAACCCGTGTCTAGTAGAATTGTTGACGCACGTTGCAATCATGGCCGGCGTCTTGGGACTGTATCCGCTTCGTCTTCTGTACTACTCATGGAGAAATCACTCTCGTCTCCGGCTTGGCCGTCGAATACATCTACCAGCCGCCTTCGATCCTGCCACCATCCTCTACCCCCCAATACTGCCCGTCCTCATTGCGCTGTCACTCTTTGCCTCATCACCAAAGCCTCTTCTACCCAACATGTTGCTCGGCTTAGCTGCGTTGCCAGCCAGACTTATTCCCTTCAGGAGCGCTACCTTGGGCTACTCTCCTCTGCACTGGCTGGTCTCCATCATGCCCCTGATCGCTGCCGAGAACACCGACATACCGTCTCGGCTGTTTGCACAGACACCATACAAACTCAAGTTACCCCCGCCTAACCAAGGTCTAGATCCCGAACTTCTGGTGACGTTGTTTGCTCTGCATCAAGCGCTGCTACCGCCGCTATACTACCTCACCACTACGAGCCTTCTACCAGCAGAGCTGCACCTGCTTTCAATTGGGCTTATCAACCTCCTCTTGTTCTCAGACACCCCTCAAGCAGCCATACTCGGTGTCTTACTGTGGCTAGGCGGGCTGGGGGTGTTTTTGCTCTGCGGCAACATCTTGAAGTGGGGCGTTGCACTTGCACGCATTCCGCGATGGAGGCTTCGACGTGCTGGCCAAGTCATTCGAGCTCGACAGAACTTCTTGCAGGTCTTGACCCGTAGTCTGGGATCCAAACGCGATGGAAGCGATTCCTGGAAAGATGTGAGTGACAGTGATGCGGATGAAGAACCCAGATTCGACAAGCCCCTCCAAAAGACCAAGAGCCTTAAAGTCAACGTTTTAGACTCGGTCAGACACATCAAACCCTGCATGGAGGGCAGCGAGCCGCGGTCCGCCGCCGAAGCGACAAAGACTGGTTTTCAGCAGTCTACTTCTGCAGCAGGGTCCACTCCTAACAGTGGACGTAAGCGTAGGAATACCCTCCCAGTCCTCGTTGCTGAAGACCATACGTCACAGCATCGATATTCGAACCGAAGACAGTCGGGATCGATTGTGCAGTCTTATTTATCGCTCACGCCCACCGAAGCCACAATGAGGAAATGGCTCTACGCTGGATACTTCTACGTGATTGTGGTAGGCCTGATACTGGGACCAATTCGGTATAGTATCGGCAAATATGCTCTTCACCAACACGAACCTTTTGGATGGGCCATCAGCTACCTCTTCGGCAATATATCACGCGTGCGGTGGGAAGTGTTCACGTGGGATTTGAACTGGTGGGTTCCTCTGCCGACAAGACGGCACGCAGATGACATGGCCCGACTCACACACCATCTGTCGTTGGCGGAATATGTTCGCCGCATAGTACTGGGAGAAGCGACTACGCGTCTCTTGCTGTGCGTGTACTGTGCAGGAACCATACTCGCTGGCCTCGTAGCGGTCTTTTCGCTTTCTGCAGTGGTAGAAGTCGACACACGCAGAAAGGTGTTCCACGGCACCATGGTGGCGATGCTCCTGCCGACCATCTTCATCGACCCTTGTTTTGTTGCGCTGGCGCTTGCACTGGTACTTGCGATATTCCTCCTCCTCGATCTGATTCGCGCCTCGCAGCTTCCGCCGCTGTCCAAGCCCATTGCCAGGTTCCTGACGCCGTACGTGGATGGCCGCGATCTCCGAGGCCCCGTGGTGGTGTCGCACATCTTCCTCTTGATTGGGTGTGCGATCCCGCTGTGGCTATCGCTCGCAGGAGTGGAACGGGCTGGCGACGAGCCGTGGCAAGGCTGGGAGGTGGAAGACAGGGACGTGAGTATGGTGGCGGGAGTTATATGTGTGGGCATGGGCGACGCAGCAGCATCCCTCGTCGGGCGGCGCTACGGGCGGCGGAAATGGCCCTGGGCAGGCGGCAAGTCCCTGGAAGGGTCCTTGGCGTTTGCAGTCGCAGTGTCGGCTGGACTCGTGGTAAGTAGAGTGTGGCTCCGCGTCGGGTGGGAAAGCGGTGCGGCAGGGCACAGGACAGAGGGCGAGTGGGCTCACGACGCATTGCTCACGCTGGGCAAGGCGGCTCTGTGCGCGACAGGCGCAAGCCTCAACGAGGCGGTCCTCACAGGCGGCAACGACAACGTGATCGTGCCAGTGATACTATGGGTGCTTGTGAGGGGTGTCAGGCTGTAGGCAGTCGACGCCGCCGCATCAGGCGGGCTGCAGGTACGGCGTAGATAGACGGGTCGACCCGACCATGAAGCCGGCCACATGGTCGTTCGCGCAGGGGAGCATGACTTGCATTCAGAATGCGTGCGACCAGACAAGAGGCATGTTGGAGCGTGCAGGCGGGCGATGTGGTGCTAGCGCATGAGGGGCACGCGTCGTTATCAAGCATCCCGGCCGGCTTCCTGCATGTGACACGCGCACGCCTGCCTCGAGCCACGGCGTCGGCCTCTTGTACTGCCTGTGGTGCTCCTCGCTCCCCCGACACGCTGCGCTCGCGATACCCTACATACTCTCCCACTCGTCTCTGCCGCCCTGCGCCGAACCTCTTCTCTCCCGCGCCCAGCTGCTCGTCGCGCCCTGCATCCCCGTCCCTCGGCCATCCATCACCACCATCGGCCGCCCTCGACCACCGCCCACCGCCCACCGCCCGCCTCCCGCCAGCCCATGTCCAACGCCCTCACGGCCGCGCTGTACCCACGTCTTCGCTGGTAGCTGACGCCCGGCTGCTCAGCCAGCGCCGCCGACCATGGCAACACCCCCCAACCCGCTCGCCCCCAGGCGGTCGGGCGCGTCGCCGCCAGTGTCGACGCCCGCAGCCACGGGCTCGGAGCAGGTCATCGGAAAGTTCAAGCGCCTGCATCACATTGGCAAGGGCAGCTTCGCCGAAGTCTACCGCGGCATTCACATTGTACGTTGCTGCCCTCCCTTGCCCGGGGCGTGCGCCGAGTGCTAACTGTCTCGCCGCACAGGAGAAGCGCCAGTCCGTCGCCATCAAGTCGGTCAATATGAACAAGCTCAACAAGAAGCTCAAGGACAACCTCGTCTCGGAAATCTCCATTCTGCGCAGTCTGCACCACCCGCACATAGTCTCGCTCATCGACTGCCACGAGACGCCGTCCCGCATGCACATCATCATGGAGTTCTGCGAGCTCGGCGACCTGTCAGCCTTTATCAAGAAGCGCGCCGACCTCGTAAACCACCCGCAGACGCAGCGCATGATAGAAAAGTACCCGAACCCGACCGTTGGCGGCCTGCACGAGGTTGTCGTCCGCCACTTTGCCAAGCAGATGGCGAGCGCCCTGGAATTCCTGCGGTCCAAGAACTACATTCATCGTGATCTCAAGCCCCAGAACCTGCTCCTCAACCCCTCCTCCATCTTTTACTCGCAGAGTGGCACCCTCGAACGCATGCCTCTGGCTGCCAGCGCCAATTCCTTGATACCCGCCACCGGCATCGCCTCGCTGCCCATGCTCAAGATCGCTGATTTCGGCTTCGCTAGAATTCTGCCGACTACCTCGCTGGCCGAAACCCTGTGTGGCTCTCCCCTCTACATGGCACCTGAGATTCTGCGGTATGAAAAGTACGACGCAAAGGCCGACCTGTGGTCTGTGGGAACTGTGCTCTTCGAAATGATGTGCGCCAGACCGCCATTCAGGGCGAACAACCACGTAGAGCTACTGCGCAAGATTGAAGAGCGCAAGGACCAGGTCAGATTTCCAGAAGGCCTCGTCTGCACCAGGGCCATGAAGACCCTTATCCGCGCACTCTTGAAGCGAAAGCCAACCGAACGCATGTCATACGAGCATTTCTTCTCAGATGCCGTCATTCGCGATGAGATTCCAGACATGGTCGATGAGGACCTTCCGGGTTCTATGCAAGCGTCTGAGCGTATGCAAACCTCCGTATTAGAACCACCCATTGAGCCACCCCAGCGAGTCCACAAGGCGCCCCTCGAGCTGGAATCCAGGCCTACTGACAGTCCATACTCGATCTCGACCAGGGACAGGACGACAGGCCTTGGGACAACACCACCTTCACGGCCGGCTTCTCGACCTGTATCCGGCAACTTCTCAGGCACTCCACCGCAATATCTGCCTGCAAGACGAGCTAGTAACGCCCCTATTGAGCCCAACGACGGACGCACTCCAACGCGTGAGCATCGTCGGCCTACGCTCACCAACGCTGCAACCGCACCAGGACGTACTGCGACGCTGCAAGACCAGACGACAGCACCTACTGCCACCAGCCACAGGCGCAAGTACTCTCGCGACGAACAAGGCCCGCCATACATCGGTCTCAAGGAGCACCTGGATCGCGAGCGAATCCCACAGAGGACGGAAGCAAACGTGTTGAAAGAGGCGGCAGAGCGAGCAGCACAAGATAACGCGCTTGACGAGGGGTTTGTCTTTGTGGAAAAACGGCGTGTGGAGATTGACGCACTGGCAGACGAGATTGCGAATAGTCCACAAACACAGCGGGATCGTCCCCTCCACCGGGAAGCAGCAATGAAGCGACGATCGACAACGCAAGGGTCGCCAACATCAACCACTGGCGCAGTCCCCTCGAAAGCCATCCAGATTCAGCAAAAGCCTACCATTACGCACCAGCGCACAGCTTCTTACAGCCGGCGACAATACCGCCCAAGCTTTGAAACCGCCACCTCTGCTCTTTCCAAGGCTATGAACATGGTCAATATCCGAGGGCTTGGTCTGTCTCCGCCGGTCATGAAGGGCGTCTCACCCCCACAGGGCTATTCCGCATTCCCAGCCTATCCCACTGCGCAAAGCAGCATGCTAATGGTCGGCGATGGAGGCAAATCCGTTGGCAAAGATGAAGATACCATGACGGTCAAAAGGATTGAGGATCTGGCCCAGCTCAGCCACGTTGTATATGGCTTCGCTGAAGTCAAATACAGTCAGCTTGTTCCGGTTGCACCAAGCGACCCAGCTTTAGGAGTCGGTTCCACTGGCGTTGCTCGCAAGCCCAACAGCGATGTGATCGACGATGACGATGACGACGAAGATTTGACGCCTGATACTATTCTCATCATTTCCGAGGAAGCGCTGGTACTCTTCGTCAAGACGTTGGCAATGTTGAACAAGGCTATGGACCTGACTGGCAGCTACTGGAATCGCGCCCGCCGTAATAGTGGCCCCGACGGAACAAGCCGAACCAATGCAAAGCTGGGTCAGGTGGTCTCATGGATGCGAGATCGATTCAACGAATGCTGCGTCAAATCTGAGATTGTCGCACGTAAGCTCAAGCAGGCACAGGGGCAGCTACCGGCAGATCATCCAAGCCATCCTCACAATCAATCGGCGGCATCCAGCTCTGCAACTGCTGTAGGTTCCGCGGAGAACATTCTACTTACGACTGGTGTTACCGCTGAGAAACTATTATATGACCGGTCGCTAGAGATGAGTCGCCAGGCAGCCATTGATGAACTCACTGGACACAACCTGGCGGACTGCGATATCAACTACTGGACTGCCATCACGATGCTTCAAGCTGTTCTTGAAGAGGAAGAAGAATCGTCCAACGAGAAGGCTGATGCCGAGGAGATTAATGGCCTCGACGGCGAAGATCGGCGCTCGATCCAGAAGCGTAAGTCTCGCTACAGTGTCCCCAAAGTGTACCCAACTAACCAACGCAGTCCTTGAACAAATGAGAAGCCGGCAACGGGCTCTTAAGAAGAAACTCGACGTTGTCAAGACTCAAAAGCGCACTTCTATCACTAGTGCGCCTGCACAACATTCCGTGGGACGCAGCTCTTCTTCCCAAGGTGTCGCAAAGTAGTCATGCATCGTACAAAACCACCTTTTCAAGTATCAAACTTACAACTGCTTGTTTTCGCACCTAGGGACGGCACTATCCTTACGAGCCCCTGCTCTCTGTGTATGGTTTTATCATTCGGTATTCTTTGCGTGGTTTGGGACAACGGGGCGTCATGAAAGGCATTGGCGCACTCGCATTCGTTCGCATATGATACCAGGATCTTGAATAGCAACGACGTGCAATTTTTCTCATTATCAGGCGTTTGAAATGAATAGCGGGTTCAGGCGCACGGTTGGGTTGGCATGCTGCTATGGAGGGACAGTGCTTGCATTGGTTGTGGGCTGGCCTTTGAAGCAATAGAACGTGTATCGAGACTTGCACGAATTATTAGTAGCTGGGGAATAACAAGAAGTGGTCAGTGTATCGAACTTGCAGACCATGCAGCAGACATGAAATGTGACACCTGCAGTCTGAATTCCCTGTTTACCATCATACGCGCAACCTCAGGTAGTGCCAGTAGATACCGGAGCTTTGCAAATGTTCAGCCCACATGACCATCCAAGCTAATGTACAAGCATGACGTTGCTCCACGCCATGAGCTCGGGCGTCCGTCTCGAGACCGCGTTTTCAAGAAATGGAAATGCTTATGATCTTAATATCCTCCTCCGGCTTCTCTTTGTATACTTTGGTATTCTCGATTTTGTGAATAACATCCATCCCAGCAATCGCTCGTCCGAAGATGGTATGCTTGTTGTCAAGCCAGGGCTGCATACATGTCACAGTCAGCGCACCGCCTCATCGTGAAACTGAAAGTAAACGAGAAGACAAGGACTTACCGTCTTTTCGGTGGTAATGAAGAATTGACTTCCATTCGAATTTGGGCCGGCATTCGCCATGCTCACTGTGTAGGCTTTGTCGTGTCTCAAGTTGGAGAACTCATCTGCAAACTCCTTGCCCCAAATACTCTCTCCACCAGTGCCGTCACCAAGTGGGTCACCAGTCTGTATCATGAATTTGCGGATCACGCGGTGGAATATGACGTTGTTGTAGTAGTTGTTGCGCGCGTGTGTGACGAAGTTTTCCACGGCCTTGGGAGCGGCGTCCGGGAAGAGACGGATGGTAATATCGCCGTAGGTGGTGTGGAGAGTAGCTGTAGTGCCTGTTGCGGCGAGTGCTTTGTCGTCTCTTTGTTTGCTGGAGGCAGCAACGCGAGGCTTTTCGTTCTGCACATCACGGGTCGACTTGGTAGCGCTGGCATCGTTAGTGTACATGTAGAAACGGACCTTGCCAGAACCTGTAGTGACGAGCATGGCATCTCTGGCCTCGGCTTCCTGTAGTAACGGGTTCTCGCTCGCTGCCATTTCGACAGTGACAACACCCTTTTTCTCTGGTTGCCCTTGGTAGAGGCA